TCAAAAAAGACCTCAATTTGTTAAACATTTATGGATTTGCTTTCAGAAAGGAATTACTTTTCCTTCAAGCATATCTTATAGATATGATTAACCCTATGGTATGGCAACATAGGTACGTCATGGCCTGCATCAATAGGAGCATAGTGTCTAGATCTAGCGAAGTAATGCTACCCCTCTATTCTGCTTTGGTTAGACCACACCTGGAATATTGTGTCCAATTCGGGGCACCACAATTCAAGAGAGATATTGACAAGCTGGAATGTGTCCAGAGGAGGGCGACTAAAATGATCAAGGGTTTCGAGAACAAGCCCTATAAGGAGCGGCTTAAGGAGCTGGGCATGTTTAGCCTGAAGAAGAGAAGGCTGAGAGGAGATATGATAGCCATGTATAAATATGTGAGAGGAAGTCACAGGGAGGAGGGAGCAAGCTTCCTTTCTGCTTCCTGGAGACTAGGACGCGGAACAATGGCTTCAAACTACAAGAAAGGAGATTCCATCTGAACATGAGGAAGAACTTCCTGACTGTGAGAGCCGTTCAGCAGTGGAACTCTCTGCCCCGGAGTGTGGTGGAGGCTCCTTCTTCAGAAGCTTTTAAACAGAGGCTGGATGGCCATCTGTCAGGGGTGATTTGAATGCAATATTCCTGCTTCTTGGCAGGGGGTTGGATTGGATGGCCCATGAGGTCTCTTCCAACTCTTTGATTTGATTTGATTCTATGGAGTATTGAATAAATACAAATTGAGAAGAAATGTTGAATGTTTGTATAAACAGGTTTCCAAGAATTCTATTATATCATGAAACAGTTTAAAAATCTGAATTAGAGAAGATCTGAAGCAACTCTTACAGTTCATGACTGCAGATCGTCAGTCATGAACTGTAGGAAGATTAAAAAAAGTTCTGCTTGATCAGACCAAAAGCTCAGCATCTCACTTCCAACCATAATTAACTAGAACATCTTCAGTAGACCTTCAAAGAGGGCTTGAGCACAATTGTTGTTTGCATGTCATGATGAAAAAAATATAATTAGAAATGCAATGTAATCATTATGTTTGGATGTCATGATAAAATGTATAATGAGAAATGTATTGTAATCGGCTTGTCATTACAAGAATTATTCTTGTGATGAGATTTTTCTCATTTCATATCTTTCTCACATCAATCAAGAGGTTTTCTTTTCTTTTAAAAATGCAAAGTAATAGCAAAGCAAGAAATAGTGAAACAAGTATGAGTTATTTTTCCTAATGTGTGGTGAGTAATGGTAATGAGATAGTAATGAGATATCTAACAACTACCATGTCAGGCTACACACAGAAGCTATTGAAATCCACAAGCATACGGACAATTTTGACAGAAAGGAAGAAACCATGAAAATTGACAAAATCTGGCTACCAGTATTTAAAAAAACCTCTAAAATTATAACAGTAAATAAAGGACTACACTCAGACACAGAGGAACCCCAGACAAGAAACAATCAGGGGCAGCTAATTAGTAATTACCTCTCAACAAAGGATTTCCCCAGGCAGTAACAAGCCACACCTAAAAACTGTCAGGCCATCAAATGCTACTCAAGGTGGCCAATTGAAACATTCACACCTAGCTCCAACAGACAAGAGTACTTTCTCCCACCCTGAACATTCTACAGATATATAAACCCAATTTTCCTAGTTTCCAACAAATGTCACAACCTCTGAGGATGCCTGCCATAGATGCAGGTGAAATGTCAGGAGAGAATGCTTCTGGAACATGACCATATAGCCCAAAAAAACTTACAACCCAGTGATTCTGTCCATGAAAGCCTTCAACAATACAGTAATGAGATATTTTTCAAACATCACCAGAATCTTACTGTAATCTGATGTCTTCATGAGTTTCACTAGTGAACTAGATGGACATTTTTATCCAAGAGGAATAGCCACATTCAGGACTGCAGTAGTAGATTTTTTCCTACCACGCTCCTGCTCGTAGGTGTATATTTGAAGGTGATGCATATTGTACACTGAGTATGGATACAAGTTGTCAGTGCATGTATATTGAGCTCTGCACATTGCCCATGAAACGTTATGAGTGTCTTGGAAAGACACCTATGACATCCCAAACCATGGAGTTATATTGTGAAGACACCTATAAATAAATAAATGCTTATAATACCAAGTTATAAAAATTCATTAAAGTTACTCTGGAGAACATCTGCTCATCCTTTTAATGTATAAAGTAGGCTTTGCTAATCTCTATGGTTGATCTTCTCCTTCTTTCCAACTTTGTACATTGGAAACTTACTTGGTATGGGTTGTGTTCCAGATGGAACGCCATGGCTTGTCAAAGGAGTAGAGGAAGAAGCCAGTTGGGTGGGGGAAACTTTCCAGTCTTTTAGAGCATTAGTGTAAAGCCAGGAGACTTGGATAGATGACACATCAGAGCCTTTCAATCCAGACGTCTTTGGCCACATGGTGAACTGTGAGGAGGTGGTTGCATCTTCTTTTCTAGCAATGGTCCAGGTTTTTGCAGTTCTCTTTGGAGCTGAGGGGGCAGGGGGACAGATAATGTGACATAGTGACCCCATGCAAGTAAAGAGATACTACTGTATTTAATATTACATCCCTATTCCTTGCATTCTTAAAACTCACTAAGTGGTGTCGGAGCCTTAGGGGAACTCTCATAACTTTCTGCAGGAGCAAGAGGTGGTGTTGAAAGTGCAGGAGGAGCAGATGATGCTTCAACAGTTGGGATGTCATATGTCTTCAAGGCGGTGGTCTGTAGCCATGAAGGCAACCATGCCAGGGGAATTTCAGAGCCTTTCAAACTTGCAGACTCCACAAATATGGGATGATGTATAAGGAGTTTCTCTTTTTCTTTCAAGGGAGCATTCTGTGCCCAAATAGGCATCTTTGTAGCTAAAATGCATTGAAGGAGAAGGAGAAGGAGGAGGAGGAGAAGGAGGAGGAGGAGAAGGAGGAGGAGGAAGAGAAGGAAGAGAAGGAGGAGGAGGAGGAGGAGGAGGAGGAGGAGGAGGAGGAGGAGGAGGAGGAGAAGGAGAAGAAGGAGAAGAAGGAGAAGGAGAATAAATGTTAGAATTGCTCCTGGCACAGTGTTTGATTTGTGTTCCCAGTAAAACTTGTCTGTAAATTGCTACAGTAAAGTACAGAAAACAGGTAATTAGATTGACTGATTGCTTTATATAACACTTTTCGCTTTAAAAAATTGAAATTAAGTGGTGTTTAAAGGGATAAAAATGATGCCTGTTAAGTTGGAAATGATTTGAAGGCACACGATAACTACAACTGCTATAACTAACTGCATCCATCAAGTTCCACAAAGTGATTTCAGTTTGCTTGGAAGGTGGGACTTAGAGCTGCACACTCGTTTTAGGATTAGGATTATTCTGGGGAAAGTGAGCATTGGTCCACCACCACTCTCATAGTTTTTTTAAAATGCAGAAATCTAGTCTCCTCCCCCCCCCCCACCCCCCACAAAGGACTTTGGATTTTTGAAACTGGATAGATTTCAAAAAATGTAGGTCTACTCATGGAGAGACATATTCCTCTATTTGCTGGAGAACCACAGTACCTTTTGAAAATTATAAATAAAAAGATTTCTATCAGTCAAGGAAAAGGTTCATGAGAACCACCACTCCCATTAAGGCTCCCCTGGCAACAGCAAGAGCATCCGTCTGGGCAGCTAAACCAGGAAATCCCAAGTGGATGTCCGCCCATGAGGGTCTGCCTCCAGGGCCAAACCAATAATGGGCAACATGGAAGTCCCTGAATGGACTCAGAAGTGGAGTGGGCAGATCAAAAGACAACCTGGTAAAATGGAACCAACTAAAAGAATCCTCCACCTTGTGTGACTGTGGAGCAGAACAAACAACTCAGCACCTGTATGCTTGTCCTCAATGCCCTGCCTCATGTATAGAGGAAGAATTGTTGAAAGCTACAGACAATGTGGTCGCTGTTGCCAGTTTCAGTCAAAAATTATTTAGCTTCTTGTGCTCCTTCTATTTTTATCAGTTTTATACTTATGTATGTAATGCTTTTGACACAAAACAAATAAATAAATTTCTATCAGTCATCAAAAACCATTCCCAAACCTCCAGACATATTTGCCAGTAATTCTAGTAACAATGATCATTTAAAAAAAAACCCCAAATTTATTGGTCAACTAATTTTAACCTGAACAGCTCTAATAAAAAATTAGATCGTTAAACCAGAGGATACTTGCTCACTTTTAAACGTCCATGTGCCCTTTGCACTATCACTTAAAACCTTGTCAGCATCTTCCCAGAAAGGCTTCCAACCGGGATGGATCAAGTTTAAATCTTTGAGGGAGAAGGGACAGAAAATTGGTTTGATTCAGAAAATGTTGTGACCATAACCCAAAGGGTACAAAACCACAATGAGAATAATTTAATTATTTAATGGGCAGCTCAATCACCTTTAATCCCCCAACAACATAGAATGGGAAGCAATAACAAGGACAAGTTCTACAAGCAGAAATATTCTAACCAACATTTCAGAAGACTTGAATAGGAAGTAAATAAATAAATAATAACAACTTTATTTTTATACCCTGCCTCCATCTCCCCAAAGGGACTCGGGGTGGCTTACATGGGGCCAAGTCCAGTAACCCAGAGTTAAAACATAGCATATAAAATATAGCAGTAATATAAAACAACATAAAATAACATTATACCAATAATAAAACAACAATCATAAGCAATAACCAAGGACATACTTCAAGTAATTGCAATTAAATATTATAGAGGGAAATTAGCTTTGAGGAAGGACACTGAAGGATGACATAGGCATATCTAATGCTCTTAGAATCACTATTTAAATTGCATGTCCATCTAGCTGCAGAAAACAGATTTCTCTGCAAAATTAATGGGCCCTAATACAGAAGGAAAACCTTCTAAATAAAAGAGTATAGCCAATTCATTCAACTCAATTACTGTTCTCATTGCTCAACACTCATAAATCTTAATTTGTTAATTCAGCATCTACTTACCCAAGAGATCAGACACATTACCAGAAAAGGTGTAATTAATAACTGGAGATTTCTCAATTGCTTCCCATAATTCGGACACATTTCTGCCTAAGGGAAAAATAGACTCAAGAGAGGCTGCTGAAAATCAGAGTACATTCAGACAAATGATTATCACAATTAGTGGCCAGGAAATAATCTTGAGTAGTAAGAGGCGGAATAGTAATAGATTTTAATGTGAATTTTAATGGATACCAGGACGCCAAATCCTATCCTCCTCAAATACAGTATGCATCTTTAATAGCATATTTAAAGTTCACAGGAAAACCCAACATGGATCTGCCATCCCATGGAGCCACTAGCCACTCCTGCTTTAACTATTCCTTTCTAACATTGAAGAATTCCAAGTATGAGAAATTAATGCTCAAAGAAACAGAATAATGACCTCCACTTTTTGCTATCTCATTCCCCTTTCTCTAAAGCAGGGGTTCTCAAACTGTGCTCCACGGAGCCCTCGGAGCTCCGTGGGTTATAATGAGGGGCTTTGTGGTGCCATGCTCTTTCCAGGCTCCTCCTCTTTCCTTCTCTGGAGAAATGTAGGGAAATTAAATTTTGAGCTGCTGAAACAACAACATCATCAGCAGCATCCTTCCAGGGCACAGACCCTTTCTCCCTCACCACCCTCATTGCCCAGATCTCACCACCTACAGCCTTCTCACTTTCTTTACTTCCAAAACCCTATTTCCCTCCTAGTGCTTTGATTGTGTTTTTCCTGCATGACAGAAGGGGGTTAGACTAGATGGCCTCTGGGGTTTCAGCTATTATTATTATTACTACTATTACCACTACTACTATTATTACTATTATTACTACTACTAAAAAGGCTGTATAGCCATCCTGTTGGGGGTGCTTTAATTGTGCTTTTCCTGCACAACAGAAGGGAGTTGGACTGGGTGGCCCCAGGAGTCTTCAATTGAAATATTGTTTATGTTTATGTTGGTTAAGATTGTTTGTAATTTTAAATACTGTATCGTTCTTTCCTTTTTTTTCACTGTTCACACAAGCACTCCCAATCTATCTGCCACTGGCCCAGCCCATGCCTAATGTACATTATATATAATACAATATATAATATGTAACAGGCATGGATAAACTTCGGCCTTCCAGGTGTTTTGGACTTCAACTCTCCCAATTCCTAACAGCTGGTCTGTGTCTAATATATAAACATTTCTTGGGGCCCCATGAGAAACTTTTGCTTTGAAAAGGGCTCCAAGTCCACAGCTGAAAAAGTTTGAGAACCCCTGCTCTAAAGAAAAGGGAATGGAATCTCCAACCAATTACAAATGCAGGAACCAGCCTTAATATACACAGAACATTGGTTTATCTTAGCCCAACACTGTTTGAAGTTACTGGAGAGTGGAATTTGATTGAACATTAGAAGAAACATCTTGACAATGAGAGTCATTTGGCAATAGAACCAATTGCCCAGAGAAGTGGCAAGTTCTCCTTCTCTGAACATCTTTGAAAAGAAAACTGGGCAGCTGCCTGTTGAGATGCTTTGGCTGGAGATCCTACACTGAATGAGGGCTGGACACAGTAGCCCATGAGGCACCATCCAACTCTATTATTTTTTTAACATAGAGGGAGGAGTATGCAAAGGGAACTTATGGCACCTTAGAAACTAATTCAGAGAACAAAGTAGGTCAGATGATGGATGTCATCCATTGGTGTAAGAACTCCTAGATCTTGGGCTAAGCCTTTTCTTCTGTGGGTCATGGAGCATTGGGAATGACTTTTTTCATAACTAGTGGTGAGAGAGTCCAATCTTGAAATGCTTCTCTCATATCAAAATATTCTAGACACAGAATACTAACAACCCACATAAAATGGGTTTTAATGTGAAGGGAGTAATTCAGTGTGATTTCCAGATACAGAGGTTGGCCCTGAGATAAATGCATGGAAATGGAAAGGAGACGTTCTGCTTACCTGTGCGACCTGACATAACGCAAATATAGACGCAGTCTGTGTCGTTACTCTGGGTGACTGAAAAAAAGACAGATGCTTCAGTAGCATAACCTTCCCCTGGAGCTAGGTGAATGTAACTTGCTCAATGGGCATTCATGACTGAGCGAGGATTCAAATCATGATGTCCCAGAATCCTAGTTCAGCATCCAAACTGCTATGCTATACCAACACCTTTAATGGTTTAAGTATGATTCATTAAACTAAATTTCAAACTAATGCAGAAATTAATGTTCCAAGTACCATCCAAAGAAGGACAAAAGAGCTCAAGAACACCTGGTGGACAAAGAAGGCTGAAGAAATCCAACACCTGGCAGATGCCCATGATGCTCAGCCACAAAGCCACAAAGGTCATCTATGGACCAAGAAGGCATGGCATACATCCTCTATGCTTATCAGATGGAACCAAACTTCTAAAGGACAAAAAAAATCAATTGTACGACGTTTGAAAGAACACTACCAAAGCCTCCTGAATCATAGCTCCAAAGTGGCTGAAGAGGTTCTCTCACAAATCCCACAACAACAAACCAGGGATGAGTTTGCAGCAATGCCTAGTTTGGAAGAAGTCAGCAATGCCATCAACCAACAACAACAAAAATAACAAAGCCAGCAGAACTGATGGGATCCCTGTTGAAATCTTTAAAGAGAGAGGACTTGAGCTGACACAACAACTCCACCAGCTCATTGAAAATCCCAGCAGATTTCAAGGATGCCAGGATCATCGCCATTCATGAAGGCCTAAGTCTTCAAAAGGATTAATTGAGAAGATTCAAGACTAGTTTATGGGAGAATGTTGTTGATTATGAGAGATAATCCCATGCCTTCCAGCAATTTCCTGGATCACCTTCTAACATTTATGGGAGGGGAATTCCTTCTGATCCAAACAAGTATTAAATAAATGAAACTTCCTCATGAAGCAAAGCTATTGAACTGTAAGTAAAACTCAGAAAATGCTTTGTTGGATTTTTTTAAAAAAACACACACACAATTAACAAAACGGAGATATTTATTGAACTAGGCTTGGAATGTATAAGCCAAAATTGGTAGTCATTCTTACCAGACAAAATAGAAGTCGACTTGAAGATTTCAGTCAGATAACTGGTGGTGTTTCCAACAATATCAACGAGCAAAGCTGTGAAATCTAGACAAAGAAAACAAGTGTACTTACAATCTGAGACTCAAAAATTTTACTCTGTGACCAGAGATTAAGAGCCAAGATTTGTGCTATATTACACATCCCTTTAGAAGGGGGAAAAAAGATTAAGGGCAGAAATTGACAATGACCACTTTGATTTTGAATGCAGACATAACAGACACAGTAACTATTTCCTGTAACAGTCTAATAACTCAGTCTAACATCTTAATTAAAAAGAGATCAAAACAAAAGGATGCCAAGACTCATTTTAAAGTTGGCCAAGAAAGGGCTAGCAAATCTGTGGAGGTGGGGAGGGGAGGCGGCACAAATATGCTGCAGAGTCGCAACTAAAAAGAGAGGCATTGGGAAGCAATAGGTTTAAGAGTATTGCACTTTCTGGAAATTACTTACCACCTCAACATTTGCAGTTTAAATCCAGTTGTTAACCCCCAAATATTGTAAGCCTATTGAAAGGCATTTGTACTTGTATTGACCTATGATGTCCTCACTGGTTTGAAAGGTCTTACATAGTTTGAACGAACTGATGCATTTTTGAACATATTGCATCCATCAATTAACTCATTTTGACCCATTACAGACATATAAATTTCAGCTTCTTCCAGAAAAGCTGGGTAAATGTTGGGGTCATTTTGCAATATATTTTGCAATAGGATTGTTTGAGGTGATGTCAAGCAAAGTTGTGATTGCTCCCAAACCAACGAAATAATGAGTCAACACAATAATGTAGGTTAAACTATGGGTAACTTTTATTAAATGTTACCAATCAGTCTCTATGTGAACTGCCAACCAATTTAAGGGCATGAACTTGTTGTGTATATGAATCAAAGCAAGTGACCAACCAAGACCTACTCCTCATCTACTAACTGTTGATTCCTGGGTGACCATTCATGGAAACAGATGGATAATTCCATCCCAATTCCAGAGGATATTGGGACCAGAACTCTCCCCACTCAAGACCATTGCTGTTCACCCTCACCTCGGTTCTTTTAACTGCAGCTGAGGGTTTCCATTCATGGCCTACACCACAAAGGGGTGCCTTAGGTGCACACTGAGATGTAAACCTATTCCTTTCTTTACACATTATAGCCTATTTAAAGCTCACTCACCCAATTAGCTCTGGATTGGTCAGTGTAGGGCCGGTAAAAAAAACCCCTAAGACACGGGTGGGGTGGATTCCCATCTAGCCCCAATGGTGACCCTTAACATACACTGTTAAAGGGTAGGAGGGTGGGTCAAAGCTCTGAGCTGGAATAGAGAGCAGGGCAGGGATCCACCCCATGTTGGTCCTGCCCCTTCCAAGTCCTGGTCAGGACTATTTTTAAGGCTCTCCCTTCGCTGGAAGGGAGCAAAGTGCCTTCCTCCCCCTCATCTTGAGGTGGGTGGAAGCAATTCTGGTAGCAGATCTATGATACTGACATAAAATGGATATACTATCATAATGAACTTTCCTTTGGGATGTTTACCTGCTTTAAGAAAAAGCTAAAATGGGAGGGTTTAAAGCAGAAAATAAAGAATAATTCATAGTGCCATCATCCCACTGCCCCATCATAGATAACCAGCAAGATATTGCAATGCTTACTCATAAATAGAAGCAGAAAGATTGGGTGTTTTTCTCAACCGCTTCAGCAAGATCTTCCAGACAATAGGCACCATTTTCCCATATGACTTACCTGTCAAATCATTTGTTCTGTTGTTTAGGCAATAGCAGTATCTCATGGGGAACTTAGTGGGGTCAACATTCTTCAAGTTGGATACTGTGAACAAAGGAAGAGGGAAGCAACATGAAATTGGTTGTATGCATCTTAGAAATTGTAGTGAAGCAGTGTTTGGAGAACTTACTGTTGTAGATGACTATGGAGACCTTATGGAAAGCATATGAGCTGTATGATGTAATACTCAGCAAAGAGAAGAACCTATTGTTGCCTGTGGAAGTATAGGTAAAATTTAATCAACATATTGCAGTTGAATAAAACAGCCAAACAGGACAATTTCAGGCAAAACCTTGATCCCCAAAGGATATTATAATTTAATAAAATGATTGAGATCAAATTTGTTTAATGTATTGTCAAATTCTTTCATGGCTGGAATCATTGGGTTGTTGTAGGTTTTTCGGGCTATATGGCCATGTTCCAGAATGATTCTCCCCTGATGTTTCACCTGCATCTATGGCAAGCATCCTCAAAGGTTGTGGATTCTGTGTGGAAAATTTGGCCCAATTCTATCATTCGTGGGGTTCAGAATGCTCTTTGATTGTAGGTGAACTATAAATCCCAGTAACCACAACTCCCAAATGTCAACATCTATTTCCTCCAAACTCCATCACTGTTCACTTTTGGGCATATTGGGTATTTGTGTCCAGTTTGGTTCAGATCCATCATTGTTTGAGTCCACAGTGCTCCCTGGAGGTAGGTGAACTACAACTCCAAAACTCAAGGTCAATGGCCACCAAACCCTTCCAGTATTTTCTGTTGGTCATGGGAGTTCTGTGTGCCAAGTTTGGTTCAATTCCATTGTTGGTGGAGTTCAGAATGCTCTTCGATTGTAGGTGAACTATAAATCCCAGCAACTATGACTCCCAAGTGACAAAATCAATCCTGCCCCAATGCCACCCATATTCAAATTTGGGCATTTGTGCCAAATTTGGTCCAGTGAATGAAAATACATCCTACATATCAGATATTTACATGACGATTCATAACAGTAGCAAAATTACAGTTATGAAATAGCAATTAAAATAATTTTATGGTTGGGGGTCACCACAACATGAGGAACTGTATCAAGGGGTCGCAGCATTAGGAAGGTTGGGAATCGCTGCTATAAAAGATGGAGTAGCTACATGCTCCCTTAACAGTGAACAATTTCTGTCTCACTACTCACACATTTCAGAGCTTGCTTCATTAAAACTATTTTAGCAACAATTTTGAAATCCATTTTTTCAAATTACTAAAGGTCATTGGTTTAACTTCTGAGTAATAGAAGTTTTTTGCCAATTTAACCTTTTTAAAAAATAATTTACATTATTTTTCATTTAATGATTTAATGAATCAACTGACTAATTAACATGAATTCTATTAATTTTCTTTATATTTAAATATTAACAGATACATTTTTCTTTAAGTCATAAACATTTAGTAGTGCCAACTACAAAACTTTCAAATGCTGGGAAAAACTAGTAAATAAATTGAAGCTTTTACCTTTGAGAGCTGTACTTAACATCCCGTTGACCAGTTCAGTCAGGTTAAATGCTGCCAGATCAAGTGTTTTAGCAGGCAGCTCTGGAAAAACAGAAGAAGTCAGTTTTAATGAATGCTGACATTTAGAGTTGCAAGACCTCCAGTCCCCAAATATCTCAAAATGCTTAACTCGGCAACAAAATGTAAGAAGAGAAGGACAGTTTAGTGCTGCCGTGTATTTGAGTGGCCATACCAGGGATGCACACATTGACAAACTCAATAAAGTCATTTCAAGGAATCCTGTTAAATCAAAGGTTGAGCCAACACTTCTGCAAATTCAAGGAGTCTAAGCTGGAACTAACAATTGGATCTTGTTTCTTTCAGAGTATCTCTGGGTGTATCCTATCCATGACAGGTGTAAAGGTGTGTGCAAGTGACTTCAAATTGCTTGTTGGCATATGACAATCTCTAATTTCATAGGATTTTCTTAGGCAAGGAATACTCAGAGATGGTTTTGCCAGTTCCTTCCTCTGAAATTGCACTTGATATTCATTGATGATCTCCCATTCAAGTACTAACCAGGGCTGAACAGAGCTTAAAAAGACAATGCCATGCAAGAAAAGTAGAACAAGTTGAGTGTGAACAGCACAGGGACTGTGGTGCAGCTGGCTGGGAGTCAGCTGTATTGAGATCACCACTGACCGAAAGGCCATGAGTTCGAAGCCAGCCCGGGTTGGAGTGAGCTTCCAACCAATTTGTGTAGCTTGCTGTTGACCTTTGCAGCCCGAAAGACAGTTGCATCTGTCAAGTAGGAAATTTAGGTACTGTGTATGCTAGGAGGCTAATTTAACTAATTTACGACGCCATAAAAATCTCCAGCAAGCATGCAAATAACGAGGAAGTACTTCATCAGTGTCACAAATGGATGGTGAAGCAACAGCTCCCCTGGTGGCCAGAATACCCTCAACTAAAAGCTGGAATGTTAAATTGCCTCTGTGTCTGTCTATATATGTTGTGTGTCTATGGCATTGAATGTTTGCCATGTATATGTTCATTGTAGTCCGCCCTGAGTCCCCTGTAGGGTGGGAAGGGCAGAATATAAATATTGTAAATAAATAAATAAACAGCTGAAGAATTCATTTTCATAGCAGAAAGCACTCACTAAATAGGGTTGTCTGATACTCAGTTTGAATTTCGTTGTGATTTTTCTAACCTTGTCCAGTCCTTGTTTTGTGTCAGTTTGTTAGTCTTTGCATTTTCATCTTATTTGCACATGGTCCTCTTGGTGTTTTGGACTTCAGCTCCCAGATATCCTCATCGTTGGATGGAGCATCTGAGAGCTGAAGCCAATAAGACCCGGAGGACCAAAGTTTGGGAATTGGAAACTACTGAAAGCTACAATCTAGACAAGATACAGAAGGAAGAGGAAAGAGGTTGGGCCGGGCTTTAGCTACAAGCTACAGAAAATCTTGCTGATCTAAAGGTCAACAGTTCAAGCTCAGGTTGAGGTGAGCTCCCACCATCAGCTCAGTTTCTGCTCACATAGCAGTTCAAAAAATCAATGTGAGTAGATAAAGAGGTATCGCAGGGAAGTAATAAAAGGCCCCCATGCGGACATGCTGGCAAGTTGATCGGGAGAGCGTCTAAGGACAACAAAGCTCCTCAGCATGGAAGATGGAGCAACAGCGCCCCTGTCCTGCCATGGCTGGAGTCGAGCACACCCTCCAGATGCTGGAAATGGGAAAAGATGGGAAGCCTTTACCTCTGTTTTTGTACTGCCTGTCTTTCTTAACTGTATAACAGCATTGAATGTTTGCCATATATGTTTACTGTAATCCACCCTAAGTGCCCTCGGGGAGAGAGGGCAGAATATAAATAATGTATATGTTAATATCATTATTATTCTATATCTTGCTAATGTTTCCAAGAAATGACTTACCTGCAGTAGCCAACACTGCCACCCGGTCTTCTTTTTTGATTTCTCCCTTTGTGGTTGCAGCTGCAAAAAGCATTTAAAACCAAAAGTAGACATCCTAAAATCCATGTTTCAAAAAGATCTAAAACTTAATTTTAAATGACACGAGTGAAAGGGATAAAAGGTCTGCTGGAGGATATTCACATGGTGTGATATGAACTTTCTAAAAAGTTTGACTAGAAAAAAATGGCTGGCTGAGGATTGGGATGTAATGCATGTTTAGCCTAGATTTAGGACAATATCTAAACATTAGTTGCCAATTAGAATAGACCTATTTAATCAAATGGAACTTATAGAATCATAGAATCAAAGAGTGGGAAGAGACCTCATGGGCCATCCAGTCCAACCCCCTGCCAAGAAGCAGGAATATTGCATTCAAATCACCCCTGACAGATGGCCATCCAGCCTCTGTTTAAAAGCTTCCAAAGAAGGAGCCTCCACCACACTCTGGGGCAAGAGAGTTCCACTGCTGAACGGCTCTCACAGTCAGGAAGTTCTTCCTCATGTTCAGATGGAATCTCCTTTCTTGTATTTTGAAGCCATTCTTTCGCGTCCTAGTTTCCAGGGAAGCAGAAAACAAGCTGCTCCCTCCTCCTCCCTGTGGCTTCCTCTCACATATTTATACATGGCTATCAAATCTCCTCTCAGCCTTCTCTTCTTCAGGCTAAACATGCCCAGCTCTTTAAGCCGCTCCTCACAGGACTTGTTCTCCAGACCCTTGATCATCTTAGTCGCCCTCCTCTGGACACATTCCAGCTTGTCAATATCTCTCTTCAATTTTGGTGCCCAGAATTGGACACAGTATTCCAGGTGTGGTCTAACCAAGGCTGGAGCCCAATTCCCAAAAAATTTGGAAATCTTGAAAAACAATAAAATTTTTTACAATGTTTTTCACAAAAATCCCCACATTATCCAGCAAAAAAGGGTAACAATAAAAGATTTTTTTTTTTTAAAATTAGTCTAAATTCTAGGGGGTTGCCCTGGCTGGAGCCATCAATTGGATCTGAACAATAAATACAATGTTTTTCAAAATCCACATATCAGCAAGTACATTAAAGATTTTTTTTAAATAGTCAAATTAATTGAACTAAAGTGTTACACTAGAGGAAAAGCACAGCCAATATCAAACTTTTCACCTCATTAGCTTATTTAATATTTTTTTTCACTCTGAAAGTCTTTAAACAAATTTTAGATGTACCAAAACATAAAATGTATTTTTCATAATGGGGCAAAATCCTGCTTTTTGATTAATTTAAAACTTAATTATACTGTATATTGTTACTTACCTAAGCTGGAAACAAAGAAGAAGAACAATAAGGCCATGGACACATTAACAATGCCATGCAGAGGGAACCATGGCATTTTGGAATCAAAAGTCCACTTTGGAAATTGCCTTAAGGGAAAGAAGATAATTGCTTTAACTTATATTGTGGGATACTTCAAATATAATAATAATAATAATAATAATAATACTTTATTTATACCCCGCCACCATCTCCCCAAGGGGACTCGGGGCGGCTTACATGGGGCCAAGCCCCAACAATAATACATCAGTAAAACACAACACAGGCAAAGCAAAATAAAATACATGCAAAATATGATAAATAACATATAAATGATAGCACAAGAAATTTAAAACATAGGGATAAACAGAATAAAAATTAAATAAACTTTGCTTGCTTGGCATTAACCCTCTCTTCTGAGCAGAAAAAGCAAATCTGTAGTTGAAGTTAAAATGGCAAATAAATAGGTCCGGGGGGGGGGGGGGCGGGGAGAGAGAGAGAGAGCCTGAGCTCCTCCCAGAGGCCAAGATGACCCAGCTGAGACTTTCATAGTTTGGTCACATCTCACACCAGAAGTGACTTGCAGTTTCTCACATCTGACACACACACACATAAATGAGAAGGCATGACTCACTAGAAATACAATAATACTTGGCAAGACAGTAAGAAAAGCAGAAGACCCTGTTCCAGCTGGACAGATTCAATCAAGGTCACAACCTGAGCCTGCAAGACCTGAGCAGAGCTGTTGATGGCAGGTTACTTTGCAGGTCTTTCATTTATAGGGCTGCCATAAGTAAAATCAATATGAAGGCAGTTAACACCAACAAACCTGAAGCCCACCTCTTTCAACCATCTTACCATCAGGGTTGTCAAACTAGGGCCCCTTCCACACAGCTGAATAAAATCCCACATTTTTCTGCTTTGAACTGGAATACATGGCAGCGTGGATTTAGATAACCCAGTTTAAAACAGATATTGTGTGGAAGGACCCACGAGGCTTTGCAGACCTAGAGATGATGCCTTGTGATGTCAGAGTGGGTCAGCCTTACAAGAAGAAGCTCCTAGCAGCCTAATTCTATAATTATCAACCTGGTGCAGAATGCCAATATGCAGTTTGAAGCTGTAGAATAGAGCCATGCATGTGGTACATTATACACAGAGACACATTTTGGGCATTGCATACGCAGGTACATAATTGGGCGCTCCCAGTGTCACAGTGGAACAAACTGCTGAGAGCAGTATGTGTGAAAAAGATCTTGGAGTCCTTGTGGACGACAAATTAAACATGAGCCAACAATGTGATGCAGCGGCAAAAAAAGCCAATGGCCTGCATCAATAGGAGTATAGTGCCTAGGTCCAGGGAAGTCATGCTACCCCTCTATTCTGCCTTGGGTAGACCACACCTGGAATACTGTGTCCAATTCTGGGCACTGCAATTGAAGGGAGATATTGACATGCTGGAATGTGTTCAGAGGAGGGCTACTAAAATGATCAAGGGTCTGGAAAACAAGCCCTACGAGGAGAGGTTTAAAGAGCTGGGTATGTTGAGAAGACTGAAAGGAGACATGTGAGAGGAAGTCATAGGGAGGAGAGAGCAAGATTGTTTTCTGCTGCCTTGGAGACTAGGACGTGGAACAATGGCTTCAAACTACAATAAAGGGACAGGGCCTTCTCGGTGGTGGCCCTTCGGCTATGGAATGCCCTACCCGTAGACATCAGGCAGGCCCCTTCGTTGCTGGAGTTCCGGAGGAAGGTCAAGACGTGGCTCTATGAACAGGCGTTCGGTCAACATGGCAATTGAACTCATGAAGACGGTATAAATGAACAAAGAATGGTAGAAGGATTACGAGAACGGAATCTGATTTTTACTGAGGCGTTGATGACTATGTTGTGTTGTTGTGTTGTTTGTATTGTCCGTTGTGTATACTGTGTTTTTAACTAATTGTTATTGTAATAAATTGCATTGTAAACTGCATTGAGTCGCCGAATTAGGCTGAAAAATGCGGTATAAAAATAAAGCAAATAAATAAATAAAAGGAGATTCCATCTGAACATTAGGAAGAGCTACCTGACTGTGAGAACTGTTCAGCAGTGGAACTCTCTGCCCTGGAGTGTGGTGGAGATTCCTTCTTTGGAGGCTTTTAAACAGAGTCTGGATGGCCATCTGTCGGGGGTGCTTTGAATGTGATTTTCCTGCTTTTTGGCAGGGGGTTGGACATGATGGCCCATGAGGTCTCTTCCAACTCTACGATTCTATGAGGTGTCTATGGACAATGCCGGCTCTTCAACTTAGAAATGGAGATGACAACCAACTTCCAGAGTTGGATATGATTGGGCTTAATGTCAGAAGGAAACCTTTACCTTTTTATGCACATATATGCATTGTACATCACAATTTACAGATGCACAATTGTCACAGAATTCTATTAATGTGACGGGACATGTCATCTCCTTGAAAGAGGATCTCACTAATATTTGCATGGTATGATCAATGTTTACTTCTTCATGCAGAGGTTTATCTAGCCACCACGATGCAATCTCTCAGCCATTGCCTTGCAGAATATTGCATATCAATCAGCCCGAGAACCTCAGCTTTAAGACATTTACTCCCACTCATGCCCATCCAGTAGCTCAGGTTGTCTTAACTCATCACCCAGTCAAAATGGGAGTTTTAAAGATCAGAAAGCTGGACCAAACTAATAACCACATATTCATCCGCCTTTGTGGCATCTGCAAAATAGACTCTCTGTTTGTTCAAGCAATTATGTGAGTCCCCACATTATTGGAAGAAATGAAGGATAAAGGAATGGAAGACAAAACACCTTTGATGTCTATTAATATTTCACGGAATAATGAACCAGTCTGTCAGCCTGGTGACCGTCTTTAGCAGTTTTTGGTTCAACAAATGGTCGCAGATAAAAGGAGATGTTTCTCATCTGTCTGAGTAATTTTCCAACCAGGTGTTGAGCGTTCTGATAACACCTTAAAATGGGTTGAGAGCAAAGCTGAACAGTGAAGAAAAGAAAAGGGGCCTCAAACAGAGTCAGCAATACTAAAATGGGTGAAATGGAAATCTGGGTGGCTGCATTTCAATGCAAGGCACAAGTTCCCATGGGAATTCATTTCCAGTCCTTGAGTTCTTCCCATATGATCCCACCACTATTGATTAATTTCTGCCTTGATGGGGGTACCTTTTAAGCTCTTTATTATAAGCTGTTGGAATTGCCATTTTTCAAAATACACCTCCTCTTAGGGATGAATAAATATTCTTGTTTATTTATCTCACTTCTAAATAGAGGGGTCCCAACAGTCAAGAAACATCATTGGAAATGATGGAGCTCCCGGTGGCACAGTGGGTTAAACCCCTGTGCCGGCAGGACTGAAGACTGACAGATCGCAGGTTCAAATCCAGGGAGAGGCGGATGAGCTCCCACTATCAGCTCCAGCTCCCCATGCGGGGACATGAGAGAAGCCTCCCACAAGGATGATAAAAACATCAAATCATCCAGGCGTCCCCTGGGCAATGTCCTTGCAGACGGCCAATTCTCTCACACCAGAAGCAACTTGCAGTTTCTCAAGTCACTCCTGACACAACCAAAAAAAATTGGAAATGATAATAAAATGTACAATTTACTCCTGGTGTTCAAATAGACTGAAGTGTTCTGGAGGAATCATTTGCAAAGGAAAGTGCAGGATTTTGTAAAAGAAAAATATATTTTCAGTGCTGAACACATGGATGGGCAATTTACTATTGGATGTGTAGATTTATAACCTAAAACTACAATGCCATAACCACTCTGTATTCAGTGACAAGTCTCCTCTAGATTAAAACAGCTTAAATGTATAAAATGATGGGAAGCGGAGACTGGGAAACCATCCCTCCCGCATAATGGGCCGATAGAAAACTGATCTTTCGGCACCCCAGAGTGAATACAGATACCTGCCCTCCCAATTTTGGGAGGCTCCCAAAAAAATGGATCAGGGCCCCCACCAAAAGCTGTGACACAAAATGGGTCAAGGTTTACCTCGAAAGCACAACCCTTGTTCCTGTCAATTCGAATGACCATGTGAGGCAACTTCAGTGATTTGACAATAAGTTGACATGGGAGCCTTGGACCCTGTAGAGAGGAATGTCTCCAACTGAATTCCACATCTCTAATGGAATTCCAGTGAATATTAAATTAAATTCCAGAAGAATCTTCAGAATATAATTCCTTGCTTTTTAATAAGAAAATCCATCCCTAGCTTGACTTAACAGGGTTCTGAAATGCCATTTGAACTTGTCACAAAGTTTTCCCTAAAGCTCCTTTACCAACATCAACAACTCCTTTTGAAATTACTTTCATGTATTGGTGTCTGTGGTCAACTATCAAAATCCACATGTGATTTTAAAACTAACTAGTGAAGGCAAATGTAGGTGTCTTTCTTATCTGGTGCTGATACAATTTTAGTTAATATTATCAGAAATAAATTGACTTACTAACAGACAGGGGGATATGACAAATACAAATACTTCACTATCCAATGTAATGCTCGTGTTTTCACCTGATAGATTCACCAATATGCATTTAAGCACAAATGTACTTCTTTATTAGTTTATCTAATTCATGACCTGTAAGACTATTATGTACATCACACTCTAAACAGCTTCCCATAAATGAAAGGAAAAGGAAAGTACAGTAACAGCTTATATTTTGCTTTTGAAATTATATGCATGCAACTTTGCTTAGAGCCCGTGGTGGTGCGGTGGGTTAAACTGCTGAGCTGCTGAACTTGCTGACCAAAAGGTCAGTGGTTCAAATCTGAGCTCCCACTGTTAGCCCCAGCTTCTGCCAACCTACCAGTTCGAAAACCATGAACCATCAAGGGCATTAAGATCTTCTGGAGAGGCCCTGCTCTTGGTCCCACCACCTTCGCAAGTGCGTTTGGTGGGAACGAGAGACAGGGCCTTCTCTGTGGTGATCCCTCGGCTATGGAACTCTCTCCCGAGCAAGATTAGATCTGCCCCCTCCCTCTTGTCCTTCAGGAGGCTAGTGAAAT